TAGTACGCGGAGCAATCTGTAGAGCTGGAAGCTGAGAACTGGCGACTGTGTAGTACAACTGTAGTACGCGGAGCAATCTGTATAGCTGGAAGCTGAGAACTGGCGACTTTCTAGTACAACTTTAGCACGCGGAGCAAGCTGTGGAGCTGGAAGCTGAGAACTGGCGACTTTCTACTACAACTTTAGTACGCGGAGCAATCTGTAGAGCTGGAAGCAACGTGGCCAAGGAAAGGTTACGCGACCTTAAAGCCTTTCCCTGGCCACGCTGCGGTTTCACAGAGCTGGTCTATGTGAGACGTCGGGATGCACACGGACTCCACACGTGGGTCACTTCAGTGAGTACCTGCTTCACTTGCTGACTTCAGTGCATACTTTGTAACTACATTTGCTCCGACGCGCGGTGCTGTGACCCGCGTCATGTCGCCACTTTCGTAGCTACAGAACCGACCCAACCGCCCGTTGTTCCACCTCGTCCAGCCGGAGCTACTGGGTCACCCGATCCTTGCTTCCCACTTCGCATGCTCGCAGGAACTGCACTTAACTTTCATTTGCAGATGCCCAGTTGGTTCAACACGCCGTTGTGGGCTGCTGATCTTGTCGTGGCAAAGATACAACCCAGTACGCTGTTGTGAGCTGCTGATCCTGCAGGGGGCACACACCTTACACACGTGGAATCCCGTGGGTCAAAAGTCCGGAGCGCGTGCGTTTGACTGGAAGACGCGCATGTTGGAGAGAACGTGGACACTCCTATAGGTCAATTTGTTCTTATAGGAAACTTCCGCCGCCGGCTTGCCCGGGAACTGCTTGTATATTATATTTATATATACCTGGAACCCATTTGACCTCTGTTTTGATAGGGAAAGACCATATTTTGGGTGGTTGGTGGTCCAAAATAGAGGTCATTCAGGTTCTAGGTGTAGAGAGAGAGAGAGAGGGAGAAGAGAGACAAACAGAATCTGTTTCTGGAGCCGCATAGATCCACATGCCCCATCCTCCAAGATGCAAGACCGATTGAGAAACCGAATCCCCTACTTGATCTATACTTGTAACATGTATTTCTTCCCGTGTTTGATGGCCCTGGGAACCTCTATCGTGAGATCAGCTTTGAGGAGATAAAGTGGTTCTAGGGTTAATCTGGAACAAACTCATCCAAACGTTGTCATGGGTTTATGCCATCTACACTCTGAAAATCTCTAAAGCAGTTATACATGCATAGTTTGATTGAATATCAATTGAGACCGCGATTCCCATGCCAAAACCAACACTCATACCGATATACCTACCACCAAATTTGGATGGAATCTTGTGTCGCGAATCCGGTCTACAACTGAAGGAAAGCGTCGAATACTGCCACTCCACGCAAGGCATTTCCCACCGATGGATCAAATTCTGTCAAGGTCATCAATACCTTCCTGTACCATCCTGTCTGGGTGTCCTGGCTGGACTACCCTATGCTACCATCCAGGATCTCCGGTCGGGAAGTTCCCTCTTGCAACTCTACGTGAGGACCCCTCGCAACTCTCTCTTTCAATAGCAGGGGTAACTCCCTGTAGCCAAGGCGCGGTCTGGTGGATAGTGCAGGGGATCGGATACGGACCCACGTGGACATTGGGAACATGTGCTTGGAGCAAAGAACAAGTCTCGTCCGCAGCATTCACTCCTCAGAATTTTTGGAGGGAGCGATGTTCAATGCAGGTGATCGTATTTTTTTTTTTTTAAGGGGTGGTTGTCCTGAAAAAAGAGGTTCAAGCATCGAAAGCTGGAGTGATTGCAGTTGATGCCGCCTCCATGGATCTCCGAGACCAGACCCGACTCACCCAGCGCTTCCAAATCAATGAGGATGCCAAATGAAGGGGCACTCAAGTTATATGCTTAAGCTGACAGTATAGCTTTTCCTCCCTCAGTTTAGCTGGAAAATATAGGTGACAAACCTTCTTCCACCTCATGTTTGGTGGGGAAACCAATCCCCCCAAAGGGTTTTGCAGGTTATCCACTTTTCCTGGGTAAGTTAAGGGAACAACACGCAGGCATACGCAGGCCTCTTTGAGTGAATACAGTCCAGTCCGACGTCTAGTCCGACTTTTTTCCTTATATATAAGTCCAAACTTCTACCGACCTTTATTTGGGATAAAACATAGGGATTTGGCCAGCCGTCAGAGAAGTTTCAAATAATCTGCATCCAACATCACAAGCGTTTTACAAGAATTCAATCTGATGAAAACGCTTGGAACACCCTTTTATGGCGATGCTGGACATGAAGCAGTTTGTCCCGCCTTCTCTCCAAAGGCAGTCGCCTCTCAATCTACCAACCCTCAGTATAGACCTACATTTGAATACATTTGAAGTAACATGTGGCTCATATCATATTCTTCTGCGTAAACTTCACTTAAGTGGGGATCCCAACAACTAAAAACCCAGTAAACCGCTTGGTTCACTCTCACTCCCATGCTGGATCCAGTGATCGTGGATCTGTCACAACGGCACGGCCACTGCACAGCTTCAGCCAAAGGCGCCTCCGCCCTCCAGCAGCACAAGCAAAGACAGAAGCGTCACTGTCATGCCGCTGATGGCACCTAGTTCTAGGTTGTGAGGCTCACCTTCCTGGCAGGACATCGCATGGGTCGTGGGATTTTGACATCCAAAGGCAAATACCACAAACACTCCATGGGGCTGCCATATTTGCATTTATATACATTGATGATCATTGGTGGTTGATTTCCAGGGTCAATCAATGCAAGCATATATTCCAGTCCCATGCAAATCTCATCGAGTGTTGGGGGATGTTTAGGAACCGAGGCGTTAGGTCAGTGTATGTTTTTTTTGTTGAAACCACTTGTGACCAGGATGAGATATGTTTTCGTGCGGTCCTCCGGGTTCAAGACCAGGGAGGAACACATCATGCTAAATCATAGTTGACTTGTCAGTGGTTTTTGGGATGTACCAGTTCACCCTAAATATTCTATTCTTGGAGCCACAACCAAACTGGTTACATGAATCAACTCTATTAGAGTTGCTTCTCTGAAGCTTCCACATGCTCAGATTCTGGGCCAGCTACCACCTGTCCGGACCTGTCCCCAGCACAAGAGCCCTTGCAGCTTTCTCATCGGTCCCAAACCTCCACCTCCAGCATCCTCTGGCCTGGGAGTCGCTCCCTCGCAATGGAAAATCGTTCAGTCGTCGACCAGAATCTTGAGCCCAACACGGCGCCGGTTCGGGCGGCCGATCCCAGTGGCGTTCGGGCGTCGGCACCGGGCGGGAAAGGACATGCATCTTGGTCCAGCTTGCAGTGTCAAAAGTTGGCTCCTTTTCCGTACTTTCACAGAAACCAACTTGCTGCACAATTAGCAGGAGAGTGATCACTGATCACCCTAGTTGCCCCAGTTGACCCCTGAACATGAACAAATTCCTTTGTAAGGGATATCAAAGTTTGGTCGGGGGAGGTGAGGTTCCTCCTGGGTCGTGTCTGGGATAGCCCCTCTTGTCTATGACAGAACCCACTTCACGTAGCCCCTCTTGTCGAGGCAGATGGTCCACCCTCGTCCACTGCGGGTGCTTTGTCCCAAAAGCCTTGGAGGATCCGATGTTCGGGAGCTCATTCGGATCATCCAAGGGAGCCCGGGCTGACTTCACACCATCCACCCGACTGAATCACCAGTCGGACTGGCCAAGAAGAAACCGTGGTCGTCTTGGTCGTCAGACGGTTCTTTTCTCGGCAAAACATGAGGAGAAATGCCAAACATGAGTATCGGGACATCAACAAATCTGTCCTGCGCCGTGAACATCAGTGTGACCTTAACCCTTCCTTCGATCAGCGGGGACCATGGCAAGTTCGCCACATCCTTCCTCCAGCCAACCCACGTTGAAACCACGTTGTCCCTCCCCGCAGTCCCCAGCTGATGCGCTGATCTGCGGATCCAGGGTGCGCCAGCTCCGAGCGCAGCCGGTTGGTTCGGAGCTGCATCTCAGTGACGGTGTGGAGCGCCCACCTGAGGCTCCCGTGGGACCGACTGGGTGGGCCTGGGTGGTTCCCAGTCTTCCGCTGGTGACCATTGCAGTTGGTCTTCCAAAAGAAAAACATGTTCGAGAAAATAGAAATCGATCTCTGAGGCGCCCTACCCCAAACTCTCTTTTGTGGGTGCTTTTGAGCTCGCTGCCAAGGCAAGCTTAGCAGGTCTTCATAGCATTTCATATCGGGATGTCTTCATATAATGTCATATCATATTTTATTTTTTGGACAAACAAAAAGGTAATTCACACAAAAGGAACCCAAGAAGACCCTCTTAAACCCAAGAAGACTCAGGACATGCATCAAGGTCTATCCGTCTAAACTGATCTCCAACAAGCCTCACAAGGCCAGCGTGGGTCTCCTTTGTGTCCCGTATGTGTTCACAAAATCCTCGATGGACCGATAGATATTTCAGTGACCTGGAACATTGACCATGTTTCAACCACCCAGTATAGGTACTCTCCCCTTAACCACCGTAGAAACAGCAAATGGATTACTTTTTGTATTTTTTCACGTTATTGTCGTTGCACGGGCTGTCAGTTTCTTTGTTAGTTGTTGTTTGTCGAGTTTCCATGTTAGTGAGCCCTGGACTTGTTTTTGTCACGGTAGAAGCTGAGAGCTCCATTTTAGATTATTTCCATGTTAGTGAGCTCTGGACTTGTGGAGTCCACTCCCATTCTTTAATGGTCGGCCCACCTTGCCATTGGACAGGTCTAGATTCAATACAGTGACCAATATGGTTACCGGTTACCGATGGCTGTCAGGGGCTGGGCACACTACGCAGGAGCTCCCAAACCTACGGAGCAAATGCAAACATGTTCAAGAGGCTAACTTAGCACTCGGCGCATGATTTCATGTTGGTTTTGGGGTCTCCACAGATAGTGGCCTGTTTCACCAAGAAACCGGACAGGCCCGAGAGGCGGAAAATGAGCTAACATTGCAATGCTCAGGATGTGTTATTTCTTTTTTAATGTTCCTTTTCAAAGGAACCGCAACTTCAAAACGCTACCCTAGAAGCCAGTGTAATTAATCCCTTCCACCTATTAAAAAACACGAGGGCCCACCCCCCCCCAATAAGGAAACCTCGGTCGCATTTTTTTCTAATAGGGGGTCCCTGAAATCGGGGGGTCCAAAATAGGGTCACCTGGAAAGAGTTTCAAACCAAAAAAGTAGTCCATGAAAATTATATATAAAATCCGCTATTAAACTCGTATCAAAAATGCAAAAAACCTCCAGGTCGAAGGGTCTTCCTTTTCCCCCACAAAAACCTTCATTAGAATAGTGATTCTTCAGTAGACTAACAGCTAAAGCTTTCGAAAGGTGATGTCGCTGTGCCATGCGGTGTTGCATGACCTCGGTGGCAAGTGCGTTTGCGTGAGTCCGTGCCATTGGGAGAAGGGAAGCCTGCTGATGCAAGCGCGGCGTGTCATGGTGGATAGACAGGGCGGACAGAGGTGGGCAGTTACGGTTGATGTTTAAATAGGTACTCGGGATTACCAATTCTTCAAGCTGCCTCAGGTTGAGCTAACCTGGCAATTTTCAGGATGAATTTTTTATATATTCCCTGCAAGGAACTACAGCTTCAACACGCTAACCTAGAAACCAGTGAAATGACCAATTCCTCAAGCTGCCCCAGGTTGAGCTAACATGGCAATGGTCAGTATGAGTTTCTTGAATGTTGTTTGTAAAGAACCATAGCTTCAACACGCTAACCTAGAAACCAGTGTAATTACCAATTCCTCAAGCGACCCAGGTTGAGCTAACATGGCAATGCTTAGTATGAGCTTTTTAAATGTTGTTTGTAAAGAACCACAGCTTCAACACGCTAACCTAGAAACCAGTGAAATGACAAATTCGTCAAGCTGCCTCAGGTTGCGTTACCATGGCAATGCTCAGTATGAGTTTTTTTAAGTGTTGTTTGTAAAGAACCACAGCTTCAACACGCTAACCTAGAAACCAGTGAAATGACCAATTACTCAAGTTGCCTCAGGTTGCGCTAACCTGGCAACTCTCAGGAGGAGCATTTTTTATTGAAAATAGCTTGAAGACGCTAACCTAGAAACCAGTGCGTTGACCAATTCTTCCAGCTACCTTAGGTTTTCCTAGAGAAATACAGGTTCATGACCCCCCCCCCTGACCAAAATGTTTCCACGTTAGTGTCTTTTGAGGACCTTGTGGTTCAAACCAACTTACGCGGTGTTCCCCGGTAATAGGCTCCTTGCAGGTTTCCATGTTGGTTTGGCCTCGTAAATCACCAGATCCCACGGTGGTTAAGGAAAGTGTAAATGTTCCATGCATGGAGTGTTTGGGACAAAGAATCCTTCAGGTGCTCTACTTGGGACCTCTACCTCCCGTCGCTTCTTCCGAATCGGTGAGTCCATCGATGCCGGCGATGCTCGGCGACCGGTGGCCGGAGAGGTTGAAGATGTTCGGAGTCTACTAGGACTAGGAACCCCAACGTTCCTTTGGTCGAAGTTGATAGAACATGATTGATGTGGACCAAGTCCTTGGGTTTGCAGGTGGAATGTGTTGTAAAGAACAAGACACTGCTGTGTCTCCTTTACCCGTTCCAGCTATAAAGCCCAACGATTTGGTCCAAAAGGTACAATTATTTCCACAACTCCTAGAAATGGGATGCTCATTTTTGTGGAAGTTTCCTGAGATTCGGTCAATGCATTGGGTATATCCCATTAGCAGGGCCCAGTGGATGATAGGTTGCAGGCCTTGACAAACTCCAAAGAAGTAGTGATAATTGTTTACCGACTGTTGCGGGTAATAGGACAAACACAATCAATGAACGAATCCTATGCCAGGATTTTTCCGATAGTTACGTCCAGGTCACCCAGCAACAGACCTGGCAGTGATGGGGGGCCCTTCCAACCCTCAACAAAAGACCTGGCAGTCGAGGGTGGTAGTGGTTCTCAAGGTTTAGTTTTCGACCCACAGGCAGAACTAAGTCACATGGATGAAATCCTACACAGCAAGAACCAAGATACTGTAAATAGGTGCCTTCCAAGTACTTCAATGCTTCAACTCTCTCATGAGTCGTGAAACTTCAAAGCTGAACTGAACAGTCTACAGCTCAGGTGACCCACTCGCCCAGGTAACCTGGAAAAGCTGCTACAAGCATTACCAAAGATCTAGTATTGGACATCAGGGATCACCCTGCATTGAAGATTGACTGGCATTGCCTGGAGTCACCCTCAGGGTCATCTTCCATTGGTAGCAGCTTGTGCCACCTCTTCAATCTGATCATCTGCAGCTCGAAAGAACACCGCCCTCAGTGGAAGTCCGAGCGCCACCCTGTAAGGGCCAATCTCGCCGGCTGACTGGTGCGACGAAAGCAGGGAATGAGGGAAGGAGCCGGGTAAAAATAGGACATATTCGGCAGGAAGGGGATTTACCCATATGGGGAACATATAAAAACAAACCCTATAAGCCAAACCAAGTATGGAGACCTGATAGGATCCATTCCCTCATTCCTTACTAGACACAATTCTAAGCTCCACGTGGACGTCATTCACGTGAGCTCTTCTTCCGAGCCACGCCAGGAAGGCGACGCTGGCCTCGAGGATTCCAGCAGACGGAAGGGCAAAAAGGGTCTCCAGACACAGGTTCTAAGCTGACTCCTTCAGTTTCCCTGGAACAAAAAATTGGTTAATCAAAGCGTCTATACCTGCCTACCTGTTTTAGTGGGGAAACCACTCCACAAAAAAGGTTAAAGGTGATCCACTGACTGGGTATGTAAGCCCAATGGGTTGGGAACAGAGAGTTGCTTAGAGAAAAGGATGGACTTTCTTCAAAGCGAAAGAAAGTCCATCCTTCATACTCGGTTGTCAACTTAACCATGTCCAGCTTACCTAAACACTGGAGAGGGTTGCAGATTGACCATACCAATTCCGGAGGGGACCACCCCTTTTCCAAGTCACAGAACCACCTTTTTTGGCTGCGCTGGTAGGAGTTGCTTGGAGTCCTTGAACAATTATTCACTTCATGATTCCCTACAATAATTCGGAGTAAGTATCAGTAGTAAAAACCTGATCCTTTACCTCCTTGAGTAGTGTTTTTGTATGATCAACTCCAGTAAAAATGAGGTCTTTGACCTGTAGGGTATTTGTGATGATGATAATGACAAGTTGATAAGAGATGAACATTCCACGAACCACCTTCCCAATTGGACCCTGGTTGCTTTGGGTGCGGTATTACATTGAAGCACCACCCTCTCTTTGGCATGGGTGACAAATCAAGATGGAATACGTGGTGGATGCTGGAAACCCAGCACAAGGGAGGCGGTGAAGAGATGGACTCAGGGTCTATGGTAGGAACCAAACATGACTCACTCTAAACACCAGATGTGGTGGATGAAAGGAGCAGTTGTCAAACACACATGTCTAGATACTGTCTAGATCTCGACTTGTGAATTGATTGACATGTCTATCCGGGTGAAATTATTATTCTTTGGGACTGTGACTCAGGTATGATTTATGTTGCTTTCCTTAGTCTATATTCTTTGTGTGCATGTTCCCAAGTTTCCTACATATCTAACCTGTCTAATCTCCAGTACCCCATATGCGGGATGAATTTGCGACAAGCAACCTCCATGTTTTCTCGTCTTCTTTTCGAGAAACAAATCTGCTGAAAACAGCAGTAGACTGTGTCGATTCAAAAAAATACAGACAAGCCTCAAGATGTAAAACCATTCTGGGCACGAACAATTCGAACAGTCAACAGCTACGAGTACCTAAATCGATCTGGGCGCGATGTCGGATTTGCTTATGGCGGAGCCGGGAAAAAATTCAACACAATAATCTTCCCCAGAAGAGGATTGATTTACCCAAAGGGAAAACGGAACATAACAAATCACCTCAGGCAAAACCAAGTCAAGACCCAGTGGCTGCGTAGGGATGAGCTCCACTCCTCAGGCCCAGTCGACCGGGACTTGCATTTTTCTCCATCGAAGTGGGTGGTCTCAGAAGTTTCAGGGTTCAATGTTGGCATATCACATACCGGGGAGCGTTTGGGTTGTGTTCTTGTGGTTCAACTGCTTCCAAACCAAATGTATAATATACATTTGGACACCCAAACATGAGCATCTTCCACCCAAACTTGCGGCAAGAGATCAGCGTTTGGAGTCTGATACGCTTAAGACTTGTCAAAATTCTCACACCCGAGGATTTTTGGACCTATGCAAATCTTACGTGCCAATTGCACTACAACAACAGGTTGTATCAGGGGGCGGTTTGCAAAACGTGTTTCTATGGTGCAACCATCAGGTTCTGTCCATCACCCTTCAGGGTATGTAATCACAATCATCAGGAAACAAACACATTCGGCTGTTCGGAGCCTCACAGCATTTATCTGGTCACCGAACATCGATTTAGGAGTCGTGGAGTTTAAGGATCCTACAAAAAATGTCCTCCAGAAGCAGCACCGCAGCTGCTTGCGTGATGTGGATAGGGCCGATGGGGTTTTAACTGACTATGATACTTAACGTGCTAGACAATGTCCTTCGAACACAGGATTAGGGTCTTTTACGTACTCGTCCAGCAGGAAGCTGCGTGTGCAGTTCTTTTCGAGCAGAACGCATCGTCCGACCACATCACTTGATTCATCGTCCGACCCAGCGCGGAGCTCCGACGGGATGTCTCTGGCGGGCTACGACGTGGAACCGACAACCTGTACGACGTACTGTCCAGTGGGCGTCCAATCCACCCGTGGATCGCTCCGAAGAGCGCCACCAATTGAGCTGGGGAAAGGGGAAGAACTGGAGACCCCCCGGAGACCCCGGCAATCCTGACACTTCATTCGACGCTCATCGGATGGTCCAGCTACACCGAGATCGCTACATGCTCATCACTGACCACTTACCTGGAGCTCGGCATAACTCTTACAGAACAAAAACCGGACGTACAAAACCTAAACGAGTCTGTGAGACAAAGAACACCATGTTGGACATCTAACATCTAGAATGAAATAGACTTTCTTGTCACGGGTAGAATCCATTGATATCATTTAGATTCATGTATATTCATTGAGTATCATGAATGATTGATGATTTTTTGTGAACTAATACTAGCTATTTCATGCTATTTCACAGTTCTCAGGCCCTGAGCCCTCCGCTGCATTTTCTGCCATAAATCCGAACCGTTTGGAGCTCCGCGGCCGCCAGCAGCTCAGCCTCCTCGAGCCCATCGAAAAGCACTTTGCACATGCCTAGAGCGAGTCTGACAGCTGTGGCCAAATGCCTGGTTCGAGGTGTGGGAGGTAGTGCCCACTTTTCTTTTCATGGTACAGTAAGAGTATACCAACATGTTACAGCCAAGAAATGCGTCTTAAAACCTCTCAGTGAGGAGTTCCATAGACCATGCCAATAATACCCCTGGTATCCCCTGGTACACAAACCCTTGCATTTCCCTTGAAACCCCAAACACTCCGTCCTTCTCTGTACCCCGCCTTTATCGGAGCAGGACAGGAAGGCCCCGAAGCGGCCGCCAGGCTCACAGATGCGGGCGCCACGTGGCAAGCTGTGTGGTTGGCTGAGAGGCTGGTAGGTCTCCACGAACCTACGACGGGACGACTAAGTGACTAATGCCTATACCATCTACTAGCATCTACCCAAACAAACCCATGAGTTTGGCATATTGACCTAATTTTTGACTGAGTTCAATAGGTATGTTGTTTCCCAGTCCCATGGAGTGTTTGGGTATCCATAGGGCTCCAACTACTGTTTCGAAGATTTGGACTTGCTGGACTCTCCTGGACCGTTCTGAAAGGAGGGATTGGTGAGTCTATTGGGAATCCTCCTCAAGCACCTTTTTTTGTGTGATTCCTGGAAGCATCTGGAAGCCATTGGAAGCCATAAAACACGTTAAGACAGTTCAACCCTTTTTGACCTCACACTCAGGCCAAAGAGATCAAAAGAGCAGGAAGAGCTCAAATCCTGAAAACTTCAATTGATCATTTTCAACTTGCTACAGATTTCCTTGGTTTCCCTATCTTTGGCTTTCTGCGCCAGTCGGAACAATACCTGTCGCCAAGCGGCCCATAAAGGCCAGCCACCAGGTTCCAGAGCGCTTGCGCTCGGGCCTTCTTCCCCATCCAACGCCTGGCTGCCGGGGACGGCGCACGACGGGCGGGCGAACCTGAGAAAGATCAGTTTGCCATGCCAAGAACAGCTTGCGTCGGAAATAGGCGTCCTTCGTCTACGTTGGACCTGTTAGAGGTCGGTCTGACCTGTTAGTTTATCACCTTCCGTCGGGCGGTTGACTTCTCTCTTTCTTGGAGTCCTCTTGGTTAGGAGATTATTCATTTGGTCAGTCAAGTTCTCAGTCAAGCCAACTTCTCGTACACTCGTACACCCTGAACAAAAGGACACTCCGACAAGGGTGTCTTGAAAAAATGGGAGGCCACCAAAAAGGAGCCCCTGCAAGAAGGACATAGACCAACAGCAATCGGTTCCGGTTCTCCCTGTTTGAAAACACACCAACATTGTACCCAGTGGATTAGAGTCGGTGACCAGTTGAAACAACACACAAACCTGTAGACTCCAATGGTTCCTGACTGGCAACTGGGCTTCGCTGGGAGAAGACCAAACATACCTGGGTATATGATGTGAACATGAACACCTTGGAACAGCCATGTTTTGGAGTCTGTTGGCCTTCTTAGTATGAGGAACCTGTGGGTATGGCGTTCCGAATGGCCGAGCGCAATGGGTACTGCCCGCAGGAAAACTCATCAATCAAAGAGAAACACTAGTGCACCATTTCTTTGCCACATCATACTTCTTCAACACTTTTAAACACACTATGACACAATATGACACACTCCTCAAGAAAGCACTCTTCAACATACCAACATATAATACTATATAATACTAACTCTTTAAGGAGCTTCACGAGTCTTTGATGGACAGTACAGCTCTCGAGCTCGCGACATCGTGTTCCGAACAGCGGGCACCACGGGCACCTGGAGTTCTCCTCTCGCTTCTGCCGCTTCAAGATCCTGGGTAGGTCTGCAAGACCGGGAGATGGTGCAGACCTACCATATATACAGCTTCCAATCTTCCAGTGACCTGGTTTTGATCACCCTCCAAAACATGAACCAAGAGCAACCTGACTTGATGATCATTACTCTAAGACAATATAGAGATCATAACAAAGCGTTATAGATCATATGTACAAGTGCTATATAATATATACAGCAATATAACTGGCAGTTATTGGTGGGTGGATTCCCGGCGAGCATGACATGTGAAAATCTTGCAGAAGCGATACAAGACTTCAGGAGAAGACTCTGGACCAAACGCGAGTTGGGATCTATATACATTGAAGTCTGGGAACTCGTATTTTTTGGGGATTCTTCATGATTCTTCTGTTGATCTCTTAGACCTGCGATCGGAATTCATCCTGAAGGCACCTTTAAAACATTCCTCATATTCATCTAAAACTTTACCGCTTTCATCTCTCCACTTGTCCAGCCTTGCGACCCTGCGACCCGTGGCTGTCGCTGCCTTTCCCCCGGCGCCTGGTGCGGCGGGCGCAAGCGCTCCAAGCCTTGAACGAACGCTCGATGTCCAGGTCAAAGAGGCCTCAGGTCAAGTCGAACTGGCGAAGCCAGTGAAAACACGTGGGGAACCAGCAGCTGTGAAGTGACATCTTAACATAATATATCTGATATATCTCGGGCATAGCCCATTACCAGTAACAGTGGATGATGATGGTTAGCAAAGACCTTGTTCAAAAATCGATTTGACATTATTGTGATACTTGTTTACCAAGTGTTACAGGTTGTCTAGGGCAGGCCCAAGATATATCTCAGACAGGAAAGTGTTGTCTCAACAAACCTCAAAGTCGTCGTTCGGTTCCAACGTGATTCCACGCGGTGATGCCGTGGAGCAGCGCCCAGCGCTGCTGTGTAATTGAGACTCCCTCAGCTTCTGTGGAAAGAAGCAAAAAAGTCTAAAGGTTAACCCTGAGGAGATCCACCACAGGTGTTAAACCTTGGTGAACCCCAGGCCACCTGTTGTTGTTTGGTGGATCCCGCAATCCCCATCCCCCTCGCAAGACCTTTAGCAGATCCACCAAGTTCCGTTGGGATTCCGGAGTGCAAATCCGGTGACCGGCGAATGGAATGCGTCCGGAATGAGGGAAAGAATACACTCCAGGGGCCACATATCGGGGTGGTTTTGAGTCTCCAAGTGAGTGGATAGTGGGAATTCTATCCTCCAAGTTTGCACCCCTTTGGAACTACTGGTGGACGGTAAACCCTATATACCGCAGTACTTATACTCCATTTGGCATGTTGGCTTGTCCGTCAGCCGTCCAAGTATGGATTGCAGGAATGAGAATGATCAAAGAATCACCTCCACATCTTTCAAGACATGGTTCAATCCTGGTTCAATCTCTTGGTTTTCTCACCAAACTTGCCACTCCCAATCTATCACGCAATGCAGCACTGGCCGCGCATAAAGCGTGTTGCCGAGCTGCCCGCGTAATGCTGATGTTCTGCATCTGGATTGTACACCTTCGGTGACCAAGACATGTGAAATTCCAACGCCGGGTCTGCGAGTGTAGGCTGGTGTAGGGGTCTGGACAAGTGTTTGGAGGAGAAAACTAGGTCTGACAGTATGGTAAAGGACATGAACAAATTGAGGACTGCTCCATGCTCCTGGGTCTAAGGCAATGATACTCGTCTACGGCACGTCCTACACAGCAGCGAAATGCGGTGGTTCAATGTAGAAGATCCAGAACCCACAGTGACCCACAGGTTTTGTCACTCACAGCTTTACAAGGGCGTGTGGTCCTTCTTCGTGTTCACATAAGAGTTGCGCCATCTACTTGCACAGCAACCGCTTCGCAAATGTGTGGAATTCGCCCGACGATCCTGCCCCTCCCAGCCCTTCCACTAAGTGGGGTACTGGAGGGTTGTATGTACCGCAAGGAGACACGATGACCATACAAAACATGCAACCATGGAACAACTGAGAAGTACTCGGATTAAGCCACTGTTCTATTGGAATTCTCATCGTGAGTTATCGCCTAGGCGACTACGCATTCAGTTCAAGTGTCAACTTCAAGTTTTCACAAATCACTCTTGTTTCGCAGGCATTTCTTTATGTGTTGGGGATGTCAGCTGGACATAATTCAAATCAAGGCAAGACTGACTAAAGATCAAGTCAATTCAAAGGATAAGGTTGCCCTTCTTGTGATGCATAAGCTGACAAAAACCCTACGGCGAGCTGACGTTGTGGAAGTTCAGGGCGGGAAGCCACTGCTTCGTTTAGTGAAAGTGGCTCAGGTTTCGTCAGACAAAGACCTGATCTGGAGGGCAGCTCGTGGCTGCTCTTCAAACATAATTCTACTTGAGTGACTGTGACCCTGCTGAAGTCAGTTCCAACCAAAGGAACTGGCTTCGAGCCGTCCCCTCGCCGTAAACAAACGAAACAGCCAGAAACGCATGTTTTTGTGACATCACTTTCTGCAAAGGACCTGACACTCAACAACAAAACACCATCAAGCAGCCAAAGCCACATCCTGGACGCCCCTACAGAGCCGGTTCTATCGGTCCTTGCCTGCTTAGCTAGAGGATCAGCTTGAGCCAGCGTGCACAGCGATCCTTGATTCGAGATGCAGCACCGAGATAGACTCTTCGCTTCCTATGAACTTCCACCAGGTTCACAAAGCTAATGGTTTGATGGAGGACTGCCCCAATGCCGAAGTGTCAGAGCAGTTCTTTGTGGTGCCTTCAACTTCGCACACCGATCGGTAGAATATCATGTTCAAAAAAAGTGGTTTTGAACATAGCAAGCATCATTCAAACCAAAAAACAGCTTACAGCCACAAAACAAACAAAATTCCCTCAAGCTTGAGCATATTCCATTTCCAGGGCCCAGTGGATGATGCACTTCGGTTGGCCGACATCTCAAAAAGAGTGATGTGTTCTTTATCTCTTCCGGCCACCATCACCCACCTATTTCTTCAAAGTAAGTTATCAAAATCGATCTCCTGGTTGGTGGACTCACTGCTTGGTTCCTTTACTCTCCTCACTGCTTGGTCAAGCTGCGTGGAGCAAAGGCCAGGGTGCCAGGCTTCGGGCTAGGCTGCCCGCCTCGAGAACTGGGGGTGATCGGACGAGCAGGTGAGACAAACACAACTACCCCAGATAAATTATGATGTATTTCATTTCAAAAATGATCCAACATGATCCAACCATGTTTAAGTGTCCAGTTTCTTGAGAGAAGTGACCAATACTTGGAAACCCTTGAAAACGTTTCCATGTGCAGTGACCACTGTAAACCCTAGCTTGTGACCGAAGCAACCCGGAAAAAACCAACCGGATAGACTACGGATAGATATCACATCATGCTCAGAAGGTATAGGAACTGACCCACGGACTGACTCTCCAAATCTATCCCGTTCACAGCCCAAACTCATGAGGTATGCACATCCCCAATAAAAGTCCCGTGGCAAATATGCCTATCTACATTGACATGGCACCATTGGGGTTTGTCTGAGTGTATGGTATCCCCCCGAACCTAGGTTCCGGAGCGGGGATATTAATCATTTAATCGCAGTATATATAATGTATATATAATGTATTACAAAATATATCAATAAAAACTATTGTATATGTGCGTAATAGATATATACTTATAATATCAGTGATCGGTTGGTCCAACTTGTTCTCGACCTCGTCATCATAATACCTGAATCGCTGCTCCATCGCCGTCGTCGCACCTCGTTGGATGGCCCGTGGGGGAAGGAATCGTTCCAGGCTGCCCGCAGGCAAGGAGGCAAGAAGATCATCTCTGGAGTGCCTTGGCCACTCCGACGTCTTGGTGGCAAATGACTGTAAAGGAGACGAGGGGCAGCCAGGATGCATGAAAAGATCTTTCAAGGGCCCGGTTTGGAAACGGGGATAAACACCAAACAATCGCTTGCTTTCGGGTCTGGGGTGCCCGTCGTGGTTGGTACATATGTTGGTATATAATAGGAAAGAGTCACAATGACAATGGCATTCCCTGATTTCCCCTGCCAATATTGCGGGTAAATCAAGAACCCCAGTCTCGCCAAGCTTAAAAACTCCGCAACATCAAGCGATCGACCCCACCCCACTCAGGTGTCGTACGTTTTCGAGGTCGAAATGTGATCGAAATGCAGGCTTCGGAGCGTTTTCAACCAAACGCGCCGGCAAACCCACATCTCCAAGTTTTTGGCGACCTTTTCTGGAAGTTGAGCAACGCTTTGCCGCTCGTGTTTCACCGGCCCACCCGTTACGAAAGCATTCTGTACTGCCAGCTCCTGACACAGGACGCATCAGCGGCGGGTTGACCAAACGATTGAACCTATGTGTGCCAGCTAGGTGGGTGGCCACCATTTGTTCATGGCTTTCCAGCAACTATCTGCTTTCTGGGCTTGCGAGGAAGCTTGCGGGTATACTCATGCATTGCATGCTTCACTGAATGACAATTGAAACCAGAAGCAGTACAAGTGACGTCAATAAAACCCCACCCCCACCCCCTGGCCGTGGAAATGAGGTTCTCGTCGATGGGCGTGGGAGCGAGCGGTGTCTTGTTCTACTGGTCCCAGGCGCGGCAAAAGACTATCACAAGGAACCCTCGTGCAAGCACTGTGAAATCGTCGATGAACGACATGGCGAATGATTTCAACCACTACAGAACCAATGTTGCACCTGGACCGGAAAAATGGACTGGCTGTGTTACAGGAGGTACCAATGATAGCATTTGGGGAATAAAAATAAGTGGGGTCACTTTAGGACCAGTTACCTAAATGGCTGTACACTTGGGCCCACCCACTTGGGGGTATCCTCCCTTTTGTTCATGAAACAAACAACAGTAAAAGTCAATCTATGGGTGTTTACCGGGGTTACCTGAGTTAACACTGGGACTGTCTTTCCTTTGGGGCACGAGGGCTCTTCAGCATGCTGAAGCCAAAGCGCCCAACTTGGAGGCTCAGGGAGCTCATGGCCTGGAGAGACGTTTTCGCCGACGTGTTCGCCGATCTGGCGATGAGAAAGAGCGGTGAAAGTTGATACGTTTTCGGACAAATTTCCTCCAATCGCTCCAATTTTGTTTTTTTTCTGCTTTTTGGCACGTAAACTTGTTGATGGACGAAAAGGGCATTCTGCAGGGAAGATCCAGATCATTCTGACATGTGTACTCGCAATTGGCGCTCAAAGCCTCCAAGTAGCTCTCTGAGTCCCTGAGTGACAAGTATATCATGCCTAAGTGTCTAAGTCTGCTGTGCAGGCCGCAGCATGCAAGAACCACTTGGGAGCCCATGGCACGCACATGCGGAACATTCAGGAGCCAAACCATTTGGACAAAAGGACAAACTTTTTGCACACACGACTCACTCCTTTTCAACCGCTTTATGCAGTCCCGCAAGAAAGCAACAAGTCAACCAAATGGGCTTCCAGTGACCTATGACTTAAATACTAAGCCAGCAAATCCTACCCATGTTTCCTGTTTTCAAGGGAGGAACCGGTCAAATCGAGCGCGACGCTGTCGACCTTCGACATCCCGGGCCTCTGGTCCCTGCCTCAGTGGCAAGAGCAAGGCACCAGGCTTTTGGACCGAAAGTTGCCAATGTTTCAACATGTACCTGGTACCTGCCAATCCAAGAACTAGTAGGTCACGGACCAAACTGTCGAATCCAATCAAAACACCAGCCAGTGATCATCTACACAGTTGCTTTGAATAAATGAGTGCTTAGGAAAACAAAACAACCAACAGGCTGGGAGAAAGCGCTTGGCTTTGAGGGTCAAGTGGCCTCCTGTCCGTGGAGGTTCCAGGAGGGTTGGAAAGGACAAAAACACAATTGAGTTCGAAAGGTATGAGATAATCCTGGGATTGAAATAGATTGCAAAAGGAGTTACCAATTTCTGTTTCAATTGGGATTATATCATTCAGCTCATGTTGTCAGGGTGTCTCAAATCCTTCCGCTTGGGATACTTTGAACCACTGGTATACTACTTGTTCTATAACTTGGGTATTATCCCATAATATCCCATAACTAGGGTTGCTAGGGCCCAGTGGATGATGATTGACTTTGGTTCCAGATTCCAGGCCTTTTTCTTAACAAAAAGTGAGAGTCTTTTGGCACGGGTTATACCCCAAAGACTCCCTGTACGACCCCTGATACCACCCCAATGTATGCAAATGTGGCATATGTGGAGTGTCAGGGTACTTGGTTGCTGGGGCACACCCTATCTATAAATCCAACTGCTGCTTTTGCGTCCACTGCAACTCAGAAGTCCTCATACCAGCTGGACCAGGCCCAAGCTATCGCCTTGTTCATCATGTACTGTAACATACTGTAACTACAAGCATATACAAACATCTACAAACTATGATCCAAACTCGACAGTGTCCAAATGTTTCCATATAGTATTCTCAGCCAATTCCTTCCAATTCCCTGATGTTGCAGGAAATCGATTCCAGGCTTACACCAAATCGAATACAACTGGTATTCCAAGGCTGCCAAAGCATCCTCCCAGTTCCAATAGTTAGCATTCCCAGGTGACTCATCAGCTGACCCAACCCAGTGCCGCTCCACCCAGCCATGGACGAGTTGCATGTCGGACAAGACGGACTGGACGTTCTGCAGCTGAGCCTGGCAGTTCGGTGCTACTCGCCAGTCCGTTTGCTTTCGACGCAGAGGGGTCCGTTCGCTTCTGTACTTTTTTGCTAAGCCCTCCCTTGTGACCTTCAGCAAGAAAAGAGGATCCAGGTCGCTCACTTATTGGAAGAACCAGGTCCACTCAGTTTCAGGCCGGAATCTCCCGGTCACCACCTGCTTCACACCCAACGACTACGTCCTTCCCATGCAAAAAACATCAAAAACCTCGCCTCCAGTATCTCGGCACTGTCCAACGGAGCAACTGGAACCTGAAACACAACAGTGAAGGGGATGGTGGCTGAACATGAGGCCTCCTCAGCAAAGCTCCATAAATTGTCATAGAGTGATGACTACAGTTGATGGAGAAGTTCTCCAGTCAGAGATAAAAATAGGGGGTGACAGGATGTTCACAGGGCTCCCTACTGCACAGCTAAATCGATGCCACGAGCCAATGGATAGGTCGAACGAGAGTTGGTGTGCCAGAAACTGGAAGCTCTGGAGATCGCCAGTTAAGGAGCCACATACAACAACCTGCCAAACACGTATTTAATAATCATGGAAGTGGGGTTCACCACCTGTTATTTGTTTGTAGAGGAACATGGTCATCCAAGGGGACATACCATCCACTTCCACCTTGATTATTCCAGGGAGTCTATGGGTTTATTTGTTGAGTCCCTCTTGTGCGTATTCCCCATGTGATGGGTTTGTTGAAAAGGATCGTGGGCCCCGCAAGCCTGTTCTTTCGGGTCGTTGGGATGTCTGCTGGTGACATGAAGTTCCATCACCCAAACCTGCCGCTGCCTCACCCAATCTGAATATGGCAGGTGCCTCACCGAAAACCCGAAAGCCATGCGGAACCGCCAGGTTTGGAAGCGGAAGCGAGCGTAGGAACCTACAGTAGGTTGGTGGGATTGGAAGATGGTCTTCCTGCAGGTGATTGCTATGTTGGCTTGGGGTATAGCACCTTAAAACTGCTCTTGAGACTCCACAGCTCTTCGAAGGCTTTGGGAATGCACCTCATTGGAAAGGATTCGATCCCCTCAACAGCTTTAAATTTCCCTCCCTGCAACAAACATGGAAGTGGAAACAAAACCACCTCTTCTTTTTTGTAGACTAGAGAATTGTCTTTCCAGGGGCCAAACAGTCCACTTCCATAATTGTTGGAGAGAGTGTGCATCGTTCCCCACCTGCTCCCGCTCTTCCTTGGGCATCGAAGGCAATGATGGAAGCTGCCGGTGGTGCAAGCACGCGGCGTGTGTCAGCGACATCACAGAAACTTCAAGAATCACCTGTGACTCTCTCTTCCACCATACATGGCTGACCTACCTGGAAGGTCATTCGCTACATGGTGGACCAGGTGCTCCAGGTTTTGACCCCTCCATGAATTTCTGAGTCCTGACGAAATAATGAAACAAACTGAGACTCTGCAGAGTTGGAAATTCCTGCCCTTTTAGACTATAGTGAGCACCTCAGTACATTCTGTCTGGGATCACCAATCGATTACCCTATGCTACTTAACTGTAGGTTTCCCGTTGCAAATCCTGGTTGGCAGTTGAAGGTAGGAAAATGAAGAAGTGAGACATCAATAATTGTTAGGGTCCTTGGATTGTGACTTGGAGGGGGTTCTCCACAAGATACATAAATGACACTTTGATTGAGATACTCGCAGTGCGTCTTTGAACACAAAATTGGAGTGTTTGGTCTTCCAACTTAACAAGTTGGCGCACGGCAGGGTGTATATTGCAACGGATGGAGTCGTCTGTACCATGCGACCCGCGCCGGCGCAATGCTAAGCGAATCAGTGGTGAACTTGGTCAAGAGTAGGTATGGCTCATCCAAGACTGGCGGGGATTAGGCCCCAACACCAGAGTAAGTTGACCCTGTTCATGCGGGCAATCTCGATCTGCAGCCCTAGGGCCCTAGGGCCACCTATATCAGTAAACAAATACCTTTAATAAAAATGTATAGGGTCCGTGGGTTTATGATGGTTGACGGGTCATGTCTTTTGTTCATAAATAAAAAAATTATGTCTGATCCTAGTACAACTCACCCTGTACTTTCCGTTGGAAGTCAAACTCAAACTACCTCTATCCTTCCAGCAACTTCAACAACTGACTAATTCATACTAAATCTGGTTGCTACCTCTTCAGTCTACCCGGAGCATAGAGCTTAACCCTTCACCTTCTTCCATCATTCTAGGCTTTCCTGAATCCCCTCCAGTCTGGTGTTTCTGTCCCGGACTGCCTCCATCCGCCGGGCATTTCGAAGGAAAATGTCCAAATCATCCAGTTGACACCTCCATCCGTCGAGCCGTGGAGGAAGCGGTCCGTTACAATCCGCTTGATGTACCGCCACGGAGCGACTGGTCTCTCTCGAAGTGAGTAAAGCGTGAAGCGGCGTGAGTCGCACAGAGGTTCAACATGGACCCAATCTGCGGAAGCCTGTTCAGTTCTTCACATATCTAGTTTGTCGTGTACACCGGTGGTTTTAGACCATGGCACATGTGTAATTAAATATTATGTTTGTATAATATGTGGAAAAAAGCTTGGCTTCCATGGTCCGCGAGGGCATCACAGAAAAAGACAAAACTTCTCTAGACTACTAGATCGATAGATAATCCTGAGAAGGCACTCTATTGTGGTTGTGGCTTGTTGAGTTTACTAGAGTTTACCCTATTCACTGGATGTCTGGACACCAGGACTTTCCCATATCGTCCTACCCATACCTGTATCGTTCCCCCAGTGGCAAGTCAAACCCACAGCCACCCAGTCTTCTCAGTCCTCTTAGTCTCCTTCTTCTCCTTCTTCTTCTTCTTTTTTGAACTTCTGTATTTTCGAGGCGTCTGTCTATAGTCTATTGTTATATATTGTTCAGCCATCTTGGTCTTTGTGGGGAAGTGTATGGTCGTACGGTTGAACATCTGATTGATACTGGGCGCCTCAGCAGCTCTCTCGAGAGTGCCAAACGATCCGCCATTGCCAAGGCAGCGGATCGAACGGTGGCCGAGCGTGGTTTTGGTGGGACGCGCGAGAGACATCAAAAGCAACACGACCTGCTGTCTTCCCAAAGTTCACCCCCTACATATGCATGCTGCATGTTTTGCCATGCATGTGATGGAACCAAAATGACGCCCTTCAAAATGGTAGACATAGCCCGCCAAAGCCGACCTCCCGTGTCTCTCCGTGTCTGGATGATCTGCTGTAGGAGGTCTGTGCTTCTTGAAACGTGTTGAACCGATTCCAGGCACATCTTCACCATCTAAGGGTGGCTAGGAGTGTACCAGCGCAATAAAGGCGTACTCTGGGAGAACTGGGCAGAATCAGCATAATCCTTCCACGTGTACCATCGTGTTTCTTCACACACACATGCCTGGAGCCACATGGAAAGTTCCAAGCTTGAGATTCGAAATGGGTAAAGCAAAACTTCTTTGGCCTTAGGCCATAGTATGCCCCAGTGAGAATCACATCAGCTGGCCTGTTTCCTGATTGGCTTTGGAGCCAAATTCAACGTGATGACCGGTAGGAGTGAGCAGGAGTGGTAGAGTCAGGACATTTGCAACGTTTGTTGGATCCCAAAGTCCTTATTTGGATTTGTCTTCCTTTAACATCGTCTGCCACTGTAGTCGTCCTACAGAAATGGATCTAGCAACTCAACATGAGGATCCATGCAAACTGACAGCCCTGGCATCCCACAGTCACATCACATGTTTCATGTCACCCACAGGCTACACGTGATCTGCGATCATTGCGATCATATCAGCTTCTGCTACTCAACAACAGTTGAAGCTTGCAACAATGACTTGTCAAAAAGAACGGGACCATGTCTATACAACTTGGAGCAAAACAATTCCCTATGTGATGTGTGGAACTTATAGCATTTCCTCAACAGCAATGTCGACTTCGAACTGCACCCAGTTGCTCGCGTGGGCGTAGGTCCAGTTGCTCACGTGTAGTTCTCGAATTTCTGGAATCAAGCAAAACAGCGTGTGTACAATCTATGTCCAACATGATCCGTCCTTGCGTCGGTTTGACCTCCCAAAGCGACATCTCAAGTTTGACCGATTGGTCCAAATAAGTCCAAAATCAGTTTTCGGATTCGGTCTTCACCATGCAAAGTCCCATCACCAGTAGTTCCATGTCGGGGTGCCGTTCGACGAGGTCGGCGTAAGGTCGGCCTGATCACATCCACGGCCCCTGGATGAGACGAAAAGCACCACCCAACTCCATGTGACCACTGGATCTCTTAAAACCCATTTGAATAGGTCCCATTCAGTCCCCCCTCTCTTCCGCCGACATGGCCACCGGAATCCATCCTACTGGGTCATACCAGCACCCCAAAGGGGCAGCTTCATTCAAATGGTCCCTGGACTGTCACTGAGCATGGGAGTTAGCTGGAAGCTCTCAGCGATACCGGCGATACCCAATGTCTCCACCAGATCTTGAGTGGGTTCACAGGAAAAAGACTAAGCAAGATTTGGGAGGCCTCCCAAAGTTCCCCCTCGTGACCAACAACCCCTTGAGCTTGCGGCTTTTCGGGTCTAAATTCCCCAATTCTCATCCAAATCCAAAAAGTCCGCCGGTCTCCTCTACCCAGCCTTCCCAGCGGTCCTCGAAAGCCTCCAGATCGCCCGTTCTCGGCTCGGCCACCCGACTGCATGTTGGGGATGCCAGCGGCGGAGAAGGTCGGCGACGTGATACATTGACCCTTAGGGCAGCTCCTGCGCCGGCCGAAGCCCACACAGCACTGAGGCCACGTGGCCCAGAAGTGCGCCAGGATGCTTGGGGGAATTGCTTATTAGATACTTTTTCTAACTTTCATATGATTTGGACTCAATGGTCTCAGCTCTATGTCCCCAATTCCTCAAAACTTATAGCTTTTGATAGCTTTTGGTGATCCACGTCCTTCCTGATCTTCCTGAGTCCCTGGCACTTCTTTGCTGGGTTGAGGGTGCATCTTGTTGTCCCAAACAAACCCGTGGCCGACTCGGATCGAGATCTGGATTGGTGTGCAAGCAGTGCACTGACTGACTTGGATTGGCTATCCAGGAGCCAAGAAAAAATGGTTATAAAATGTTTCAAACACATGGATTCTCCAGGGGAGGATAACATCCATAGGGAAAAGAAACATCCCCCTAAGCACAACCCTGCTGAACATACCCAAGACAAAGCTGCATTGTCTGCATGGTCTTCAAGTGCTAAATCGGCCGAACATCGCCAACTATCGACGAATCCTCTAGCGCTGGCTTGGCCTGAGCCACGAATAGCTTCCCAAAGCTGAACTAGCAGCGACCCCTAACAGCCATGGAGCCCTTGGAGGGAGGTTTACTCTACGGATTCCGTGTGCACCAAACGGGCACGGCACCAGGGGCTTTGAACGGTGCGAACTAAGTCGACACCTTTTTGAACGGGGTTTGGTGCCAGATCTACTCAAAAAACCCTTGCCCAGGGGGTTCTTCTTCGTTCTTCGTTCTTCCAAGATCCACCTTCGAGGGCTTCAGCATCATGGTTTTCGGCAGGGAGCTGGGATCCAATCCGATGCAAATACCTGGAGTGAGTGGAAACATGTGAACTACCCTGAGGATCCGGATCTGAACCAACACCAAAAAAAGGCTTTGAGGGGCTGTTGTGAAGGCTTCGACCTGCGAAGAGGTCGAGTTCAACAGATTCTTTGGAGTACTGCACTCCCTGAAATTATCATGGAAGTGGAAAAAGGCTCCTTGGACCCTTTCCCACATATCAAACTTGATCAAACCATATCAAACCTGTCGTTTGTTCACTTCCATGCTCATTTCAGGGACTACGACCTTTCTTCTTCAGCTTGGCGCAGCAGGGTGGCCTGATGGCGCCGACCCGGAGACGGACCGTTTGGGTCACGTCCTGGGCGAAGATGGGTCACGACCCCCACACGACATCTGAGCAGGCCCCACGCCAAAAGGCTGGAGTAGTCGGAGATGGTCCACTCCACTTCGCGCACCTGAAACTTAATTGTGTAGCTTTAAATTTCATAGGGAGACCCATGGCCCATCATGGCCCCTGGGTAGACTGGTCATCGAACTTGGAGGTCTCCCAAAGTAGGACATACACACGCAATCATCTCCGTGGACCAAGGAGCCATCCAGCCAAGAATTCGGAATGGGGGAGTTCCAGCATGTTTCACGTGTATATACACTGGGTCCACGAGTTGTATCTCAAGTACAGGAGTGTCGTATCAACAGTCCCATGGTACTTGAGGATGATGAAAGGATAAAACAATAAAAGGATGACAACAATTTAACTTATTTAACAATAACCATCAATAGTGGACTAAATCAAAATCATTCAAAATCTATTGGGTGGATCATCCCATCATATCCAATCTACACCGTCGTAGGTACAAATTAACTCTGAATGGGCCTCCAACACCTACCTCGACAGCCCTCTGCTGGCATCTCTTGGAATTATTTTGGGAGAAGCGTCAACACGTGACGGGGACATAGCCAAATTGAGCTGTCACTGCTACCCATTGACCAATCTCATTGCAGCTTCAGCTGCCCATTATCTATAGGGTTCCTCCAGCATTCATTATGGGGTTTGGTTCTTTGGGCTGTCAGGGTAGAGGTTGAACAGTCAGAATACCCAGCTAAACGCGAAACTCGTTGGCTCACCACCCAGAACCATGTAACATGGACCCCCCCTCGGCCAATCCTGTTACACAAAGTAACTACTGTATATCACATCTTCCGCATACAAACCGGTACTTGAACCTTGCATCGTTGATGCTTGATGACTTAGCCTTTATCCATGGATACCGGAAAGCCCCCTAATCTTACGGTCAGTTTCCAAGAAATCCCTAGACAGAGTGTGTCTTTCCACCTAGCTGGGAATTGGGATACACCAGCCGGGATGGAAAGCTACCTCGGCAGCCTGCTTGGCGTCAACTCCCAACGGCAAACAGCACCGAGCTCCAAGGAAAGACTTCATAATTGAGGTCTCATGTAGACTCTTGACTCTTGATTATATTAAATAGAAACACCCCCATGTGAACAGGTTCTTCAATTAAAATTGGGGGGCTGTTAATCAAGAGTCTATACTATCAGGATCTACCAGCTAGTGGGACACCAAAACCAAGCGGCATAGCAACCCAGTGGATCCGTCCAACACGCACCCGCTGAAGCCCGCCGGCACCTGGCAGTTCTCCAGAAGCCCCAAGCGGGTCTCCAAGACCATGGCCTCAATCTGTGTGTTTGTCTGGCCATTGGCGGCGGTCTCCTGAAATCATAGACAGTACTGATAATCATATATTATATATGATATATATATATATAATATAAATTCATCCAATCCGGGGCCTCAAATGGAAAGGGCTTGGCTCGGATCCGGACACATTTCAATTGATTGTTGGGCCTGGGTCTGAACCCCTGCGAACGGGAACAGGAGGGTCCGTAAGGATTCATAGGGCTATGACCCATTCATCCCATGGCTCATTGGGTGGAGCCAGGCTCCAAAAAACGGGGTCCAAGCTGTCACGGACATGTTCCATGTGGTTGCCAAGCATTCTTCCCGCGTTTCTGAGCTCCCAGACTCGATCCAAACGAGTTCCGGCCTGCTTGACCTGCCAGCGATGTTGGGAGTCCAAGTTGGGAGGCCTCCCTTCGGCTCTTCCGTCTCAAAACGGAGTGAATGCTGCCGGCATGCTATGGACTTCTGTAACACCAATCAAAGTTCACCTGAAACCCAAACAAGTAGAAACCAATATGCCAATATGGATGTTTCCTCAGTCCCAACCACGTGTTCTATATGTCAAGAATGCCATTTCTGGTTCGGAGTCAATGAATGTGAATATCCATGAATATCCCAAGTTGGTGAATGGAACTGTCTGAAAACATCTTCACAAAATTGCTCCGATGCTCATGCTCGCCTCATGTTCTATTATCTCTTTTGGGGTGTTCTTCGCCTCTGAGCTCCGACTCGGATGACTCGGCGGCGCCTGCTGGATGGTGTTGAGCACTGGGCGCTTGGCATAGCGAAGCTCCTCCAAAAGAGCCTCGACTCG